GCGTTCCTGTTCTGGGCCAATAAATGGAATGTTTCAGCCGTGGGACACACTGGCGCCGCCCAACACGATCTCGGACACCTGCGCGCAGAGAATGCAATGGCTCCAGTCTTGGTCTGCGGAGGCTCAGGGATCAAAAGAAAAGCAACTACTGGCTACACTCAAAGAATTGAATGCAAGGTCTGTCTAGTTGTCTTAGCATAGAGCCTTACAATAGGCTGCGAGGCATAGTAAATTCGGCGTGCAAGAGCTTTCCTTTTGGGCCCTTTCGTGCAGGCTCACTATTCCACACACTTCAGCTTATGTGAGATTAAAATATCAATAGAACAAATTACGGCAACTGATAACAATAATATCAAAAACGCGGTTGTTGGCTTTCTTGCCATTCAGCACGCGAAGTCAATTGTTGCAGGCAGATAGAATTTATTAGCAGCTTTACATTGCTTTTGACGTTCTCGATAAAGTTCTGTGCTTCAGACCGGATTTTGCGCTAGTAGACGTCTGGAGAGTGTTTGATCCAGAAGGGGCGGGCATCTCCGAGGCTCGTGGGGTTCAAGATGGCTTTAGTCGATTGGGCATCCGCTGTTCAAGCCAAGAAGCCCACTGCTTCATTTGGTATTACTGTCCTCCTCATCCTCTCGGGTGGGCAAACTTGACACCAGATGGTATAGTCTGCGTCCTGTATTAAATTGTTCCAAAATAAGGAATTCTGGTGCCCCTGAGAAATGAATAATGTATTATGCAGGCTTACCTTTCCAATTTTTGCTAGTCTCTTCGCTGCTGGAGGAGATGAGCAGCTGCCGCTGCTCAGATGCATCCAGCAGCAGAATCCGAGCACAGTACCAGCCGCTTACTTGGCTTTATCTTCGACGACAAGGAAGCTACTAGCTACATTCTTGAGGCTCGCCCTTGACAAGGTGGGATTCTCCCAGCGCAGCTACTGTTGACTGTGCGCCGGGCAAAGCGTCTTCGGTTTGGGTTGCCTGTCACTCCCACAGTGGTCCCAGGCTGCAAACCATTCTTAACACTGTACAGGATTTTGTTTTCAGGCCATTTCTCGTTGGGTTTCCAGATCTTTTAAACAGTCTGGGCTTTCGGCAACTCCAACAGTATCCGGGAATCTCATGGTCTGCTGAGCCAGCTGCGGGATAGCATTTCGCAAACTGCTTTTCACTGGACCGCCAGGGATCACTAATGTATTTGTGTGGGCACAGATCACCTCACAGCCCACATGCTCACTCCCCACTCAGTAAGAACTTTTTCATCCATGTTTGATCCTCCTGAAACTCCCATGCGTGCATTGATATTATTCGAAGACAGCCTCACTAGTTCCGTACGATTGGTTTCTTGTGCTTGAGTCGTTTACAAGGGCCTCGTGCACAGCAGTTCTACGAAGCCGTTGGTGATTACACATCACCAGACTGGGTAGCCACTAGATCGCCTTTTTATGTGATTAATTAAGCGTATGAAACAGGGCTGAAAACTGTGTTGATTGAAGCAGGGGTAAATTCTCATGCTCCATTGTAGGGACTTCGAAATGGTTGCATTGACAGTTTTACCCCTCCATACTGAGCCTTCCGAGATGCTGGCTGACACAAAGGAACAGCCGATTCCGCATTGGCTCTTTAGTTTGAAGCGAAATTCCTACGGTCCTTGGACCTGCGCATAAGCCAACTCAGGTGATAACTCAAGGAATATCTGTTTTCGTCACACTGGACTAACGAACGAGCCTATATTCTGTCGACTTGCACGCGGTGTACCAGTTGTTTCCAGGGATCCCTCACTACACTGGTTGAACACGCGAGACAGGCTATTTGAACGACGCCAACCAAGAACAGCCCCAGACAGGTTGCTACCGCCACGTTTTGCGTTATGAGCCCTCCTGGCCAAACTAGTAATTCAACGAGAAATCGCCATATATATGCATATCTGAAGTATAGAACTAGGTTATTACTTGTATGGGTTTCGGGGTCTTGGGTGGATCCCAAAAAGCATGATTACAGCGGAAAGCGCTACCGTCAGCCTCGTTGCCCTGAAAACCAGCGCTGAACCAGCAGGTTGCTACACTATAGTCGAGCCTCCACTACCCCCAACTCTGTCTTAAAGTTGATACACAGCCATTCATGATGTCCTGAATTCTCGGCAAGCTCCATGAGCTCCAATTGGTGTCATTGGTGATGGTGCACTCGACCCCACTGTCTTACGCTTAAGGGCGCATACTGTTTAGCATGCTTCGACCATTTTAGCCTTGGACTCACCAAGGACCCCATCTAACAAGTCACAGAGTCAACGAGAAGAACAAAACGACCAGGCTTGCATTTGAAGCCGTTGTTGCAGTAAATATGCATTACAACAACACTCAAGAACAGAGATTGATCCAGCATTACACCCCCGATTGTGCAGCTTAAGAAGGCAAAGGTAGACATTCCGAGGAGCTCTGAAGAGAACACCAAAATGCAATTTGGAGGATTCTATGCCTCATTTGACCTCTTCAAAAACTAACAAGCGTCGAAGGTGAACCCTGCGGTCGTCGCTGGAAAGTCGACTTCTTTGCTGCCAAACTGACGCCATCCAGCTTTAGGCACTGCAACTCTGATATTTGAGGCTCCACCGTAGCCACTCGTGTTGCTAAGTGCAGTATAACTGAACGCGAACATCGGCTGAATGGGATCTGCAAGGACCACGCCCTCAAGGTTAGTACTCATATGCGTGTAGCATTTCCAGTATATATCGTATTAGACGTTCACGTTGTGGGATTTATGTTCTGCACCGGTAGTCACGGTGGAGTGGCACGAGCAAGATACGTGGAGCGACGCGAGTGAAGTGGAGCCACTGTCGCAATAATCGCACTCTGGAGATTTGCTGTGGAACCTTGAAAAAGCATGTGTTGTTGCCCGATTTAACGCCATGTTGGTGCAGGGTTGCTTGCGTTTTATTATGGTGACGGCCTAGATGATCGTTCCTCCGTTTCTGAGATTCGTGCTCTAACAGGCTCTGTGTCATTCGGGAAGCATCGCTGTCACTTCAAGTTTGGTGAGCGAAACCATTCGGGGCAGCCAAATAATCCTTGGCGCTCAACGTGAAAATTCGCAATGCCGGAAGACGGCCAAACGGCATCTCAGAGGGTTGATTTGGCCGTCTTCCGGCATTGCGAATTTTCACGTTGAGAGCCAAGGATTATTAGGCTGCTACGAATGGTTTCGCTCATTCGAGGATGAGGCCCCAGGTGGATGGTGATCGTGTGATTCGCAGAGATTCGCCCTTTCTACGCTAAGGCCCCAGCTGCATGTGCTTTTGTGATTTGGAACTCTCTCCAGCTGTGGTTAGTGATGAATATTATCTAAGGAGCGCTCACCAAAGTATCATCTAGGGACGGCTGCTCGCTTAAGACCACAGCTGTCAAAACCGAGATACCAGCAAGCTAAGCGGCTGTAAAGTAAAGTCAGTTTGGTGCGGCATTGGCCCTGTGACGTTTACTGGCGGAGTCTGTCGGTCTTTTCTCTGCTCAAACACTTTGTTACACGGACAAATAACCAGCATGTCTTGCATGTCAAAGAAGCTAGGCTGCCACGCCATTCTAGATACTGCCTTCACCAAGGAGGATTCCCAGTGGGTACGCTTCATTGCAGTCGACTGGCATTCAGTTGAAGTGCTTTTTGTGTCAATTCTGTGCCTAACGTATCATGACCACCTCATCTGAAGCAATCAGAGTCAACCCCTGCCGGCTCTGGTAAGTTGATCTGCGTGGCTTAACACCCTGATAGGAGGCAAGATTCGGCGTGTTAGGGTTCGTGCACATGTGACTAGGCCAGTGCGTAGTTACATAGGTGTAAATATCCCCAACCCAGATGGGCCCCATGAGTCCTCAGAAGTTAAACTGTCTACACAGCTAGGAGTGTGGAAGGAAAAATGTCCCGGTGAAGCCCCCCAAGTTAGTAAACAGCTCGCCCTCGGCCGCGACTACCTAAGTCGTAAATTGCTAGATGCGAAATCTGGATTCGTACGATCACAATAACCCTAATCAAGTTTAATGAACGAAAAACACACATCTCCATTCACCCTATATGCAAAAAGGAGATCCCAAATAGATCTGTCTCGCCTCGACCCCCCAAGGTGGCCTTAGCATCCCAGCCAGCCCCACGGCAGTGATGGACTGTTTGAGCTCATAGCCTGTATGCCATATTCCATGCATAAATGCTATAAATTATCCCTAATTTTATGTTGTATCATTTCATTCCACTAAATAGGCTACTGGAGGTGTCACAGGTTGAACCACTGTAGCGCCTGTGCACTACAGCCTGTGCCTCGGAAAACCGAGACACTCGTGAAGGAGTGTGTGTGCACATGCCATTCGATAGATTCTACATTAAATGACCTGATTCCTTTCCTACTGCATTTTATAATCATTTTTGACTGCTTCCTTTAGTTCCAGGGCTCCTCTGGTACCTGTCACCTCCCAGATCCTCGATTTGCTTGTGGGGCCTGACGGCCGATCACTGTGCCAAGGATATCGTCCCTAAATCTTGCATAACGTGGGCAAGTTATTCTTTACAGTGCATTTTATTAAACAGTTTGAGCTAACAACTCAACTTGATGTAGGTTGAGCGTGTTACACGCCCATCGTCGTAAATCAGCTACTGAGATCTAGTAGACATCAGCTTTGCAGCAACCTCCCCCCATCCGGAGCAATCCGAGCATCAGACGAATCCATTTTTACCCATTTCTTCCACTTCTTGGGTGTCATACAGCAAAGGCTTCCTGGACACCGGTGAGCCTCCTTGCCTTGCGGTGCCCGTGCGAGGAAAACTGCAAGGCCTTGTGGTTCATTCCGTCCATCTATGGAGGTTGTAGAGCGGCTCAATCGTTGTCAACGGCTTATCGTGCTAAGTCCTAGACGACGATGTATGAGTGGTCGAGGGTCTACTTTCGTATGCCAAACATAACTCCCGTCATTCAGTTAGGGGATCTGTGTGGACCGTCGTAGGTGTTTGCGCTTGGGGAAAATGGCGGACGGATGGGACGCAGAAAGGGTGTTTAACTCGACAGTATACGGCTTCACGTATGACGACCTCATACTAATGCCTGGTGAGGCCGCTGTAGTGCATTTATGACGACGTTTTCGTGGAACTTAGGGAGAGAGCAGGCGCTGAGCATCTGCATTCCTCCACTTCAGGACATTATGTTAAATGAATGCTTGCGTACATGGATCCTCGGCGTGTAGGACATATTGGGTTTGGCGTGGATGCTGTCGACCTGACTACGAGGCTAACGAGGGGCATCACCCTACGCCTTCCACTAGTTTCCTCCCCTATGGACACGGTTACCGAGCATAGAATGGCTATTGGTGTGGCGCTTATGGGGTGAGCTCCACATTCTGGATGTGTCAGTTTTAGTTTAGCAAGTGCATGGTTTGCTGCGAAGAATAGCTGCGAAGAAGAATCACAGTACGTTACTAAATGGGCTGGTGGAGCTGCGTGTGGTTCGTTATAGGGGAATTGGTATTATTCACAACAATATGGAAATAGCACAGCAGGTTCAGCAAGTGCGGAAGACCAAGCGATTCGAGAATGGATTTATAACTGAGCCTTTTGTTTTGAAGCCAACGGACACGGTTCACGATGTTGATTGCATCAAGAAGGTGGGCAGCGAAAGCCTTGCCCGGGTTCAACAAGCAAAAGGCAGAGGCTCAATGTTTCCACTTTTAAGCTTCCAAGCCAATCCGATTGACTTTTGGCGTTTGTGCAGTTCTCACTGCAGGGCTGTTGGTTTCTTACACTGTGGGACGGTTTGGTAGTCGAGCTCAGAACAAGTGGTCGTTTGCCCGAGCGGCATGTTTCTTAGTTGGTGAAGAATGCTGTGTTTTGCTGCCGTCTCTGCAGAAATACGGGTATAGTTCAGTGCCCATCACATCAACGGGGACCCTTGGAGGAAAACTTGTTGGAATCGTGACGTCGAGAGATATTGACTTCATTACGGACAGGCATACCCCGCTTTCAGAAGTCATGACAACGGACCTTATTGTAGGTCACGAGCCACTTGACCTTGCTCAAGCCAACGAGATTATGAGGAAGTCGAAAAAGGGGAAGCTACCAATTGTGAATGCAAACTTCGAACTGGTCGCTCTAGTCTCTCGTAATGATCTGAAAAAGAATAGGGAGTACCCGTTAGCATCCAAGGACCAAAACAAGCAGCTTTTAGTGGGTGCAGCTCTTTCCACAAGGTAAGGACCAGGCTAGCAACTAAGGTGGCTATGACACGCGCGAGGCTGTTAACATTTCGTAAACTCCGTCCTCCTGAAACACGCGCACGCGCAGCATTGATCCAACCGCGGAACTGGGCGTTCCTGCAGGCCAGGAGAACTTGAAAGGGCAAAAGCGTTGCTAGAAGTTGGAGCTGATGTCTTGGTCATCGATAGCAGCCAAGGTGATTCTGTATTTCAGGTGGATCTCGTAAAACAGCTGAAGTCGGCTTACCCTAACACTCAGGTAAGTCAGTTGTCTTTTGCCAATGAAACGCTTTTGCCCCTTGCAGCGATGGCTGGATTCATAATCCTGTAAGAGTCCGCGTTCAACCTGCACTCCTAGAATTGCGGTGATTTTCGTCTTTTGGGTGACTGAGTTACTTGCAGATAATTGGTGGAAACGTGGTTACGGCACGGCAGGCGAAGTCTCTTATCGACGCTGGAGTCGACGCGTTGCGGGTTGGCATGGGAAGCGGATCAATTTGTACTACTCAGGTAGGGAAACGTGACGCCGGGCCTCAGTCTGCCAAAGCTATTGTATTCTACACGTTAGTGCTGGGGGGGGATGGCTTCGTTTTAACCGCTGCCTTGGTAACATTTTCAGGTCGTCTGCGCTGTGGGAAGAGCCCAGGCCACTGCTGTGTACCACGTCAGCAAGTATGCAACGGAGTTGGCAAACATCCCTTGCATTGCAGACGGCGGAATACAGAACTCAGGCCATGTTGTCAAAGTGAGCCCAACCCGTAGGATATTAATCTAGGGGCGGTGTTACTCAGAGGACAGCATTCGTAGAAATTCTACGCGTTATTTAGGTTCTGCTTCATCTTGTTTGTGAGCGCGCATGCAAAATCGTCGTCCTCAGCATTTCCGGTGTGCTTCATGTATAACTGCAGGCTTTGGCCTTAGGTGCCAGCACTGTGATGGTTGGATCTCTCTTAGCAGCAACGGAAGAAGCACCAGGGGCTTACTACTTCCATAACGGGGCTCGGGTGAAAAGTTACCGTGGCATGGGGAGCATAGAAGCTATGCGCGCTGCATCCGGGACCAGCCAGCAGCCTCCAACTGACGGCAGTGGTACCCCGACATCCTCCACGTCGGGCGGTTCAGCGGCGCGGTACTTTGCAGAAGGTCAGAAGATTCGGGTGGCCCAGGGGGTCACAGGCTGCCTGGTTGATAAAGGCTCCATTCGCAACCTTATACCCTATCTAATGCAAGGGGTGAAACACGGATTTCAGGATGCAGGAGTTCCGAGCATTCAGGAACTTCACGATCAGCTGTACTCTGGCCAAGTCCGATTTGACGTCCGGTAGGGAAACATTTAGCTGCAATCATTCCTGCACCAAAGCAGCCATATCATGTCCGGTAGTTGGTCCGGTAGTTGGTAACACCTTGACGGGGGTATGCGCAGGGAACGCAGTCAGCCAATACCACGTTATATTACTGCACCATCGTTGGATTCATTTGATATATTTAGGCTATCACCTCCATAATTATTTTTAATTTTTCAGTGTGTTTGTTTCTGCGTATATCAGATCCGCCGCGGCACAGAGAGAGGGCAATGTCCACAGCCTCATGGTCCTGGATGGAGCCGCCAAGAGCTAATTACCTAGATTCCTCTGGTATTCCGCATGTATATTTTATTCCCGTTGTGACATGGAGTGCCATTAGGCATGCCCTCGTAGCGATGGGGTAGCACAGGGTCTGATTCAGGACATCCTGAACATTATGCTCTTTTGTCGTCTATTCGAGCTCGTCTTGCCCTTTGGCTCTGCAGGAGCAGGGTATAGAACAAACTAGCGATTGGCATGTGTTGGCGGGTTCGTTTGATAGTTGGCAACTGGTTTATGGAGGCAACATATCATTGAAGCCTATATCAGTATGCCCCGAGTTCTTGCCCGTTATGCTCACGTGCTGTAAGGACTAGCAGCGGTTTGGGGTAGTAAGTATGGAAAGATGAAATGTTAAACCCTTCCGCACTTAAAGGATTGTAGAGTTCTACGCGTGGACCATTGGATATCTCTAGCCCTCCTGCGTTAGTTGAGCAGCAGGTGGGCGATTAGCAGGGTTCGGTCTACAAAGCGTAGTTTGCGTATACTCATGATGGGATATGCAAGCATCCAAAGAACAATTTGCTGGGCTGGTGCATTTAAGTGCACGAACCCAACGAGTATGGGTGTCAGGAAGTGCACACATAACGTCCCCATCAGGGAGCTGACGGTATTCAGACAGGGCCGCCTACCCTTCTCAACCTTGCTCCAGTATACAGGAGGACGGTTCATGCCATGGTCTGATGGTATGCGTTGCGCTTATCGAAAGAGCCAAGGCTAACTAATTCATTCACAACGGGGTTGTCGTGTAACTGTGGGTAGTCCCCTATAGTCGCCTCGTTACGAGTTGTCTTGTTCAATCAAGGCGTCACTCCTAGCATCCAGGTGGTTTCGCTACTCTCATATTCACTTGACACCCAGCCACTTCGTTTTTCCAGGGTCATCCGCAGAGACTGCTGTGCAACGTAGTGTCTCGGTAGCAACCCAGGTCGTTGTGACTTGACTCTTCTTGGGCGTTGTCGAACGCTCCTAAAACTGGAGTAAAGTGGTGTGTAGATATCTTAGAAACTGAAATTTCAAGCAGGGGGTTGTTGGCAAGGCTACTATCGTTGGGGCACCGGGACATTATCGGCTATCCAGAACATTTCGGCGGCGCCTGCAGCAACGCTTGGTGAAGGCAGTCCAGGAGAAACTCCACATTTGCTGTGTGCGGGAGCAGAATGCGGCTGACGATGGATGAGGTAGCGCTAATTCTCGCCCCGAGGCAGCGGAGTATGCATGCAGTCACCCACGCTCTGTAGACAGCAACACCTACTTTTGCTGGGGGATCATGCACAGCTCAACGCAAGAAAATGAAAACGTTCTGTAGGAACTGTGAGAATTTAACATTAAGGGGCTATGCTGAGTAGATATCTCCTGTTTGAAGACCTTCCCCAGTCGACGGGAACCGGTGGCCCGGCGGAAGGTTGATGCGAGACTGCCGGTATAAAGCCATCAGTAACTTTTATATTTGTCTTGCGATGAAACAATTATTTTTTATCCTTACTTTTTGTCATTCAAGCTTGCAAAAATAGGGCATTTTTCTCTAGGGAACCTACGCGCCGCACGATTGAATCCAACGAAGGGCCCGATAGTGAGATACGCTTGTGGAGTCTCACTTATTGCCGCAATTGTGGCTGGAAGAACTGAACCAGCTCCCAGCAGTCTTCTGCAGGTTGTCTAGATCTGGTTCACCAACATTATTGTAGACCATGAGCACGAGGAAGCCTCCCAAGAGTCGAATGACTCCGCGAAGCTCTCCGATCCAAACTCATCCGAGTGAAGAGGCGACCAATAATTTGCCGGAAACTGAAGTGCTGAATGGCATCAACTCAGATGAAATGCCAACCGAAAAATGTGCCCCTACACCATCTCTTTCAGCTTACTTCCTCCAGAACTACATTACGAGCATGGCATTTCACGCGTACATTGCGTTCGTGCCAGCAATACTGCAGCCTATATTGAGACGGAATCCCCCATTTAGCAAGTGGAGCCCGAATGCAGTAACCGTCCTTTGTGTATTCGTAGCCAATGCTTCGTGGATGGAGTTTTTTGGTTTCAAATGCACGGCGGATGCTGGTGCAGCCTTCATTGCGGCGGTTCAAGAGAAGCGAATAATGGCAGTTAGCGGCTCATCCTTACCACCGACTACAAAACGTAGGAGTTGGACCCCCAATATACTGAGGCCAGCTGACGCTTGAAACTTTCCCCGTTAGTCAGCCAGCCGTGTCCTTCATACCTACCATCTAGCGAATCTGTGGGTGGATTATTCAGGCATGTTGTTGCTCGGTGCAATCTCGGGACTCTTAGGTGCTATGACAGTCGGGCTACTCATAGCATTCTTAAGTGGGCTAAATCCGTTCGGCGGCATTCTGCCCCTGCCTCAGGAGGTCTTTCGCCTGTTAGAGAATAGGGAAGCGGAGCCTTCGATACTTGTAGATATAATGGACGCGGCAGGGACCATCAGACAAAAGGCTCTTGCATCCGCTTTTATTCAAACAGTCGCTTCAGTTGTCGGTTCTTCCCATACGATGTTTGCGACATTCACGTTGGACCTTCAGCACATGTTGCAGTCAGGCTGGTCCTACCAGATTTTCCGTGCATTCAGTTTGCTATTTGATACATTTGTCGCAGAGTTTCTCTGCTGCTTTGTCGTTTATTCTGTCAGCGCCGTCTGCACTTCAGCAGGATTTTACCTTGAACTTAGGCATATACAAAGACTAAACTTGGCGGTACTTCTCTTCGCCGTCGTTGCGGGCCTTCCTTTCTGCACTGTAGTGGGTAAGCGCTGGGAAGAGCAAGCGCTTCTCGTCGCAACTACACGGAGTTGAAGTTTTTGGTGGTAAGGATACTATTTGAGGTGCGCATATATAGGGCATGTATGCTGTTTGCAGGTGGCCCAATGCTAGGAATCTCTTTTGCTGCCCTGGTTGCCGGGTGCCGATTGGATCCGTGGTGCTTCGTGCTCACCGCTTCTGCAGACTTTTTGGCAGCTGTGGGCGCGACAGTTTGGGTTGGTCCCGTGGCGCATGCACTTCCTACTGTGCGCGCCTTGACTGTAAAGAAGGGAACCTGATGCAAACACAGGCTTCTGAACCTCGCTGCGCCTCCGGCGGAGGAGGATGAGAGGGACGAAGGGTGGCAGCCGAAGTACCATGTCTGGGGTGTGAAGTGCGACAGGCACGGTTCGCTCTACTGGACTATGCATTGGGAATGTCCACCGTATTCAATCCCCATGAGCTTCAGAAGCTGCAACTGTTTAAGTGGTGGGCCATGCACAGAGAGAACTTGTCGCCCCAGTTCCCCAGATGTCTTATCGGCCTTCCTCATTTATGTCTTGAGTTGACAAGGGCTAGCTCGCCCTCCTCTGTCTTCTCGAAGTGCATTGACTGAAAATGGGAACTAAAATCCCCCAATAAAAGGCGAGAGTATTGCAGTGAGGCCCCATCCACCCGACTATTCTCCTGGCTTCAGCATAAATGAAAAGGGCCACGTGACAAGTGTTCATGGAAATCCGGGTTAACACCGAGTAATTTGTACTGAGCACATTTTCTGGATGTCCCTGAGGAGTTGGGTTGTGGGCGCAGTCAGACATGTTGGCGCTCTATTAAGGGCCCACGCCTACTGAATTGTCCGTAGGAACGCCGGCTTTTCACCAAGTGGCTCTGATAGCCAGAATAAGCGCTTCCACACGGTCCCCAAAGCCGGCCTGGTAGATGTCCTGTTTGATAGGCCACCAGAGCAGGGGAGCGGCAGCACTGTCGGGTGTACTAATAGCCGGCCTGGTAGATGTCCTGTTTGATAGTCCACCAGAGCAGGGGAGCGGCAGCACTGTCGCGTGTACTAATAGTTTCTCTAATGTATATGGCCTCCGATTGCACATACGGGAGTACCTACACATCTTCGAAACACCGAAAACAGAAATCAGCGTGGCGTCTGCACGCCAAGAGACTGTCATCAAGCTCTGTTGTCAATGAGCCGTGTCTCACTGTCTCACAATGAGCTAACGTACACGGCGGATACCGCGTGTGCCTGGGACTGCCACTGCACATGTTGATGAAGCTTCGGCAGGGGTTTCCCCTCCACCTGGAGACCGGCCGCGCAATTGAGCAGTCTTGAAATTCATGATGGTGCAGTCTTCCGCAGGGCGCTGAGCAGTGTTTGCGTCACAATTGAAGTTACTGCCTTGGCCGACACCTCTCAACAAACGTTCGGCCTCGGGGCTGAGGTGCCGTCGGGACCTCGCGTCCCTGCGTTGTTGTGCGATCTCCTGAAGAGAGAGTGGCTTCCCTTCCAGCGGCACCTCCTCCCATGGATACTGAAGAAGCAGCACAAACAGACACACCCACAATATGGGCAAAGACACTGCGAATCCGATCCTGCGACTGATTGTGCAGCTTATTCGCAATTTCCCCAGTTGCTTACGGGTTTGGGTTCAGTTTGTATTCCTTGATAGACCCACACCGCCTTCTCCCTGTTCCTCATATTTTCAAGTTTCCAATACTCTGAAACGCGGACATCTGCCTCGGCAAAAAGCGTAGGCAGCCAACGGTTGCCGAGTTCTCTCCTAAGGAACTGGGGAAGCCCTGTAGCTACTGAGTCGGGAAGTATGCTGGGGATTTCACATGAACTGAACCCAGAAGCCCTGTGTTCGAACTCTTCATCCTCTTCCAAGGATGACTCTGTGTCATCAGACTGTGCAGATGTTCGGGATCGCCTATGGTTGGCATGGCGTATCTCTTTCTTCCGCCTGAAACGCCTGTCCCAGGATGGTCTTTCGACTCTAACGCAATTTCTTTCCAAGTAATCGGCTAGGCGAGTGGGGATTCGCATGTTGTTGTTCTCCACGGTGGCCTTTGGGTAGTTTTCAAGTGCTGAGCTTTGCACGTAATTACCGGGGGGAATAACACAAGTGTATCGCGAACAGGGTGTTGTGCACTGCGTAGTGCAGCATGCATCTGTGCGGTCACCTACTGAAACTTGTGCTACGCTCCATGACGACCGTGAAGGAGCTGGTAAGGACGATTTGCGGAAGTGATGCTCGCTGGCATTATACGCATTGTCAAGTCTCGAACTGGACACTAATGGCTTCGTTGTCTCCTCAACTGGACTACCGCACCCACCACCTACGGGGCTCTTCTGACTTGCTGGCTGCATTGATCTGCTGTCTGGAAACGCTTTGATAGGCTTGGGTAGCTCCGGGGGAACTTTAAGCACAAACGGCCTGCCAGTCTGCTGCTCTTGCTGGATGCAAGGGAAAATCTTGGAACAGAAAATATCGTCCACGTAAGGGAGTCGTTGTCTTGTGTCCCGATACCTACGGGCGAAAACGCCAACGATGCGATATGGATTCCTCTCTGCGATCACTAGGCAATCTCCGAAAACGTCATTTGCCGACGGCCCGAACCACTGCTGTGACTCCCCCTGTCCTTCTTCAGCCTCCATTTGAACCTGGCTCTTCGCTGTCCACTTAGAAGGCCGCAGCATTCGCTTTGCCAAAGAGTCTGCGAACAAACGCAACGAGCCTGCACCAGTCGATCAGCTCCAGAAGTGGGCTCTGCACAGCGCAAGCTGCATACGCGACGTGTGAAAGAATGCTGTGTCACAGCCTACGCCGACGGACCGCTAGTATCGATTGTCCACTTCCTGCCGACCAGAGAGTTGAGAATATTCAAACAGCGCTTGCGGAATGACTCTTTAACTTCGTTTAACTGGCGGTGTAACCCATTGACCTCGCACTCCATAGCATCAAGTGCCGGGTTTTGTGTCTCATCAATAGCTCGCTTCTCGGCGGCCATTGCCGCCATATTCCTGCTAACATTGGCAACGGCCTGGGCACGGCAGGCAATATTTGCCTTCAAATCTAACTGAGATGCATTCGGTCTCCTGGCTGCTTCCTTAGACTGGACACTAAGTGACACGTCTGCACTGCTGCGATACTGGGTGCTCGCCGGCAAAGAACCTTCATCCATGAAGGACACGCGAATAGGTCTGCGACTAGCGAAGGCGATCCTGCCTCCATTGGCCTTATCCGCACCTGAGAACCCCCGAGAACTACTAGAAAGTACGCAGCGGCGTGGGCGCGGACTATCATTGTCGGAATCTGCAGAGTTTGATGATTCAGAAGACCTCGAGAGAACCCAGCTAATTCTGTTCCTCCCCCTTGGGTTCACTGGTTCGCCCGCTGCTGAAGTTCCTTGGCGAGCTTCTTCCAACACAGCTGGTTCTTCCACAGCATCGGAATCCGACGACACGCTCAGCGATCGCGATGCGGTCGGAATCCCACTCACGCTCCCTCTCGGCATTTCCAAGTTTTTGGTGTGGGTCGGTCAGATAGAAAACCTTCAAAAGGCTCAGAGGAAGTCTGGCTAGGACTGAGAGCCGGATTCCACCGCACGTTATTGTGAACTTCGTTGCTTCGCGCCTAGTCGAGCAGCTGGAGGGGAAAATCATCCATATGCATACGGCGGCTGCTCTATAACAGTGGTAGGCCAAATATTGAGGGGATAGCTCGCCAATCGTCGGATTAAAAGGGCAACACTGGTGCTACGGGGCAGCACTACCGCGTCGTGGGAGGTAGAGCTGCATTGGGGGCTGCTTAAGCTTGAAGGAGTTCAGAATCAGGACCACAGATGTCTCTGAGCTGCAAAGTCTAAACATATGCAACTTGGAGTCCGTCATATAGGATATATTGTCTACCTCAGCGCACCAGCCTGCACGCGACGTCCTGAAAAAATGCCTATGCATTACCGGCGCCACCAGGGCCGCCTTACAATCCAATAAGTAGGCACCGTCCTACAGACCAGCTAAAGAAACCATTGGGAACCATTGCAATCAGACAGATCCCAAAGAGCTGACAACTTTATAGTGTTTCCCAGAAGTCCACTGGTTGCTTCCGCTATTCGCCTACTACTGTGAGCCTTCTCCAAGTAGCTTCGCTCAACACGCTCCTTAGTGGAAGCAAGCAAATATGCAACGAGCCAAGTAAGAATAATTGCCACTTTTGGAAAGGTCAGTGATATTCCTAACACCAATGCGATCCCTCGGGGCTCGAACTGTCGACGCAGCCTAATGGCTGTACTGGAAGCCGACTCGGAACATAGCATGCCCAACCATCCATGGTAAAGTAGCAAATCACCCAATGTAAACATATGAACACGTTTTTGGTAGTATGTACAGTTAACAATACATAGTGTACGGTTAAGAAGATATTGTGTACTACAGAGGCCACGGAATCAGAGCTTCCATGGCACCGGCTCCTGTAGCTCGCTGGCTGCGTCGACCGACCCGCGACTATGAATTATACCCAGGAATAAAAGTGATTCCCCGAAGGGGCCCCAACGCTCGTTGGATACGCCTGCGTCCGACTGTTAATGTGGTGCATGGTGGAACATCGAGGAGTGGCCGGTGGCCCCTCGATGGGAACTGTTGACGTTGCTTCCTCGTTTCCACAGACAATCTTGCAACAGCGGTTTTGTCATATGTGGTGTTTCCTTTTGTAGAACCTTCGAACAAGGTGTCGGCATCTTGCTGTGACGGTAGCAAAAGCTCGGCGACAGCGGTTCTTGTTGTGACCGAAGCCAGGCTGTAAAAGACCACTGTAGACGGCAAGGGTCTTGTGGAATGATTGATTCTGCGAGCAATATGAGTCAGGGAGTGCCTGTATTGGATGAGCATTACAGAAATGAAGCTTAGTTCTGCAGCAGCTCCAACCTGCCAGCTAGAGGCTCTGCAGAGTGCGAGCAGGAGATTAAGCGTGCTTGTCTCTCAAGCCGCTTGCCAGATAACAGGGGAATAATAGCTTTCAGTAGGCAGAGGTTCTGTTTGAAGATTGATTGCATTCTTAGAAAAGCCACATGTGGCTTTTGCCGGGCCTAGGGAGTGGTGAGGCTTCCGGCATCCTTATGGCGGCCAGCATTGTTTATCACAAGTGATTAACAGTGGGACGTAATAAAAAGTATCGTGACAAAATGTAGGGCTAAGTATCAAGTCGGTCCATCTTCGGAATTTATTGCAAAGGAAATGAACCATACTCTTTCTCGAAGGTGCGAAGCCTAAGCCCTGTACAGAATTTTGCTCAAATGGACCGAACATTCTGCAGTCATATGGAAACGAATCGGCACAAGTACTAACACGTCCTGGGAGCAGCAGGAGTATGTGATGATCCAGAAAGTCTCAGACAGAAAGGTGAAGTCATCTGTGAGTTATGTATGTGTTGGGGAAATCAATTTTCATTATTCGTTCTTGCTGCTCATCGTTGTAGGGGCGTTCTTGCCTTCGCAGCCTGACCCATCTTATGAAGTGGTGAGGGTGACACTCACCTTGGCAGTGGCGAAGTGGAGAATTCACCTTGTGGTAGATTTTGAACTTGAGAGTCCCGGTGGTTCATTCTTGCGCAAAAGCCCAATACTCGTACCCATATTCTTACGAGCAGTCCAATGAAATGCTCGGTAAGCTAGTCATGGTTTTCTGTCTCGAGAGGTATGGGGAGAGGCAACTTCTATTGGAGGGAAATTTTGGTTGCCCCTCCCACAGGTGGATACTGTGTAGCTGGCCAGGCGCCCTCAGCTTCCTTCCCCTCCAGCTTCGAGGAGTTTCAAGGGTAATGCCAGAGGTTCCAGTAGCTGACGAGTACAGGTACATCGTAAATTCAAGCCGAGCACCTCCGTATTCAGCTTCCGCCGCTGGCAGGAATACCCAAGCCCCCCTTGTTATATGTGTACTTATACCTTAGAAACTAGTTACACAGTTTGCCCTGAGTACCCAGCATGCAGACGATAACCGCACACGTAGTGCCTATGGAAGGGGCCCTCCTATGGGCTATACAAGACCACATCAGGTAGTTTCAGCAGAGGTATCGGCAATTTTCAAGACATATTTTTCTAGTAGCGGCTGAGCAGTCGCATTCTCAATAGTGAGTTGTTTACAGTGTGCACAACGCAACGAACAGTGGTAAACTCCTCGATACCTCTGGTGGCTGTTTTTGGGCCTTGTGCCCACATTGGCTTGCCCGTAATTAGCCGCAAATTTTTTCGCTGAATTACTATTTAGGGTTCGTTTCGTGATCGTTACACTGTGCTCGATTCCAGCGGGTAGTCGCTGACAGGGTTGTGGCTTCTGCTACTCTCCCTGACGACCAGAGCACTGCGCATCTGCTCGCCAGTGATCTCCATAAACATCACTCCTCTGAAGGTTGTCGCGCCTTTAGTTGTAAACGATCAACTTTCCCCTGACGAATCAAACTCTTAGATTTCTCCGAATCCACGAATGCTTTGCATTGGCTCCCAGCCACATCTACACTCAGACATGCGGTAGTTACCACACCGCACCATACTCCACACCTATCAAACTCTGCAGCGCTCGCCAGCATGCTTTCTTTACACCCCAGTCAATCGGGTTAGCGGGCTATCCCGCCCCTGGTGTGTCCCTTTGGCAGAGCTCGTGTTCTGCTTGCTGCAACTCATCGACTTCGTCCCGAATTGACTCTACATCAGGCTACACCCCTGTCCTCTGTGTGGCCTCCTCATACTCAACAGCCTCTTCCCGTGCGGATCTGCTCTCACGATTCAGCATCTTTCCCCACCTCGGGGAAACTGGAATGGCATGAAGGCCTGTCACCACACCGCACAGAACCCCTGTATACTCATATGCATAACTTACGTCGGGTCTCTCCACCGTCGTACTCTCTACTAACGGATTCCTCGCTGTTGCCTTCTCCACGCTTCACTTCGCTAGCTCGCTGGCTGGCTTACGCCGCCTGTGCTGCCTTCAGTTCAGCCGGCGGTCGCCAGATACTATCCTTTTGATAAGTTTGTACCGTGACTCTTCGGTTGTGCTGGGGTTGATTCTTATTATACATTCCACTATAGAGAAGAGGTCACTGGGTTGGAACGAAACAGCCCCCAAATGTAGTGCGCAGCCGTCCTAGGGTGTGCCTACTTATATCATCACGTAGTGTCCGGCTTCCTAAGTACAACCCCTAACTACCAACATCCCCAGAGGTCTATGCTGCAAGTACCAAATCCTTTTAGAGTCCCTATTATTAGCAAGGCGAGTTCATATAATAAAAGAACTGTGTTGCGAATTGACCCCGGTCATGGGTGGGTGCCAGTGCCCAACCTACAGGATGACAGGGGGATATGAACGGTGGTGGAACGGGCAGGAGCCTGACCTAGAACTCCACCAAAGTCGTAATTATAGACATAATACACCTATACAGTAATAATTCTACTTCCTATCCAATTAGATCTCTAAAGGAGCCTACCTGGTACCCAAGTAGTGACTAGATAGTACACCACACGGCCGACACTGGCTGCCGGGGGGGGGTAATCCTACTGAACTATGGCTCTATCTACGGTACTCGATTCTTAGAACATTTAGCAGTATTAATTCCTTTTCTTAGTCTCTAATGTGATAATCCTTCTCTTTATGGTCACTAAGCTGCTAGAGACCATACCAGCCATATTGTAGTGCCTGTGCTCTACACTCCCCCATCCGTCTGTCGCGCCTGTTCGCGCCCCATATTATGTCATTCGTTCGGAGCGAGTGTGATTTTGGTGGTAGCCTTACCTTCTGCAGTAGAAGACACTCCACTATCGTTCTCCCAGCAACACAAAAGGGTGTACATTTGCCTCAGCGGCGTATATGTCGGTGGCGCTCCACCTGTAGGCTGGTTCTGCTTGTGTACCCACAGCGTCTTGATGGCCTCTGCAAAGTCCTGCTGTTTCCAAGAGGATGCGGCGTGCGTAATAATAGATGAGGGGGTCGTCCGAAGGCTCGCTCCAACGGAAGCCGATGCCTGCACGGAGGCATCTATTCGGGAATCATGCGAGTTGGACGACTTGGTGTTATTTTTAGGTCGTGCTCTACTCCTTACGAGGCGGAATCTCTATGTGCTATTGTGCGTACCTACCGAATGCTACCCCACTTCATCCCCTTCGCTTCTCAACGAACCGCCTTATGTCGGTTCTGGCCGTCGAATTGAAGATGCAGCCACCGTCGTTTCATGCGGAAGCCAAGCATGGCATCTTACTGTGTGTCTTAACACCAGGGTGGGGATTTTGGCTCGTCGGCTTGAGCTCACCTCAGTCCCAATTATAATTCCGTGGGTTTGTGAAAACTCTCACGGACACGAGCCTGCAGGCGAGTCAACTCCAGCATGCAAGCACTGGGCACAGCGAGCCAGGGCAGCTGTGTTGCATCACTACCGACTGACTGTTGGAGTTAATGCCTTCTGGCAGTGTGTTGATGAAGCTGAGCTTGCTAATGCAGTTCCACTTGTATTGGATACTGTCTCATCTTTCTGCAGCCGCGAAGCCTGCGCCCTCTGGCCGAGACATTGCCACCTAAGGCCGTTGCACAGTAGTATCGAAGCTTGTCCCTCGAAGCATGAATTTCTCCTGGGAGTGGAGGGTCAGGGCATCTCTAAGATTCAACAGTCATCACCTGCACAGCCAAAATACCTTTGCAGAGAGACGACTTGCGGGGCTTCGAAAGAGTTCATGCCGGCTGCCAGACAGGGAGACACAGCAAAAGCCGATGAAGAAGTGTCGGCAGAAGCACCGTTCGGCTATGCGCTCGTTGCTGGAACATTTGATCGACTGCATGCTGGTCACCAGCTGCTGTTGGCCGCTGCAGTACTTTCGGCACGACGGCAAATTGGCCTCGCGGTTGCCTCCGGCCCTCTGGTCAAGAAGAAAAAAGTTTCTGAGAACGATGTTGCTGCAGCTGGCATAGAGCCTTTCGCGTGCCGCCTCCAAGCCTCTGCTGCCTTTGTGCAACTGCTGGCAGCATCGAAGGGGAAGGCGGTACACTTAACAGGCTTCAGAGAAGCATTAGAGGAAGAAGAGAGAAGCATGTTGGACGATCTGCAGCTCCAGTCCTCCCTGGCAGGTAGGCCGGAGCGATTTAGTTGCGGTTCTACGTCAGCGACGGGAGCTTTTGCTAGTACAGCGCCAGAAGAAGTGGACGGTAGCATGCAGCTGCAGATCTTCCGCATAACTGATCCGGTTGGCCCTGCTGACCGGCTAGCATTTGACTGTCTAGTGGTTTCAGCCGAAACAGTGAAGGGAGCCAACATGGTTAACAAATCTCGCGTTGAGGCAGGGAACGAGCCAGTGTTCGTGCTTTCTGTGGAACTCGTGCCAACCGATGGGTGGGTGCCTCGCCACTCCATCGAGGCGCTTGCGAGGCACTTGCCTTTCCATCTTTTCACGGAAGCAGATCAATTCGAAGGGAGATCCGACTTTTCTAGGCCAACAGTATATGAAACCCTGCCGGAATCTTTAATGCAATCTAGAGCGAATGCCGCGACGAAAGAGGAGGAGCCTGCTGGTGTCGCACGGAAGTATCGGAACAGCAAAGCTGAATCACTGGATACCTCATGGAACAAACTAAGTTCAACGACTCTGCGCCAGCAGCAACTGAGGCGGCTGTGTTATTGGTCCATTGCAGAGCTCCGCAACCGATTTGAAGAAGCTTGGTTTTGGCTCGCACGAAGCAAAGGCGAGGGGGAAATTGCTGAACGGCTGTCCAGTGCCACCATGTGGAACATACTGTGCGCTGAACACGCAGTCCCTTGGAGAAGGTTGCACACTTTTGATCGCCTGGCACGTGCCCTAAAGCGACTGGAGTCCTGGAATATCTCTGTGAAAAGAGAACCAATTGTGCTAAGTCTGTTTCTGGGTTCGATGCTGGCGTGCCCTTGCAAGTATGTCACACTGACAACACGCGCTTGCGAGGCGTCTGACCCGAGAGGGCTGGGAAGAGCCGACAGTGCTACTTTGTGCACCTGTTTAAGTTGGAGTCCTGAGGCTGAAGATGCTGCATGGCAGAGATGTGCAATCGAGCTCTTAACAAAACTCCAGTGTACGTGGGGAGGTAGGCCGAGCGCGAATGTAGAGAACTGTCAACAGGCTACTGGGAAGGTGTCAGCATCACCCGCAACTGCTTCTTTTGATACCTTACTGGAAGGGCATTTCTCTCTACTAATGGATCTGCTCTGGGAACAGCGCACTGCCACTTTGGCCAGACTAGCCCCAACTGTCCGACCCGTCAGCGCGTCACGGAGACGGCATGCTGCAGTGCGGGATGATGGTGTGGCAACGTTCAGGCGTCTCGCACGCAGGCTTGAGCAGTTGGAATTCACTGATATATCGATGGATGAAACGACGCGATTGCAGAGACTACGACAAGAGTATTTTTTTGTCACCGACGACTGTTTTAACAGCTACCGAGTCGAGCAGCTGGCACAGTTGCTGGAAAGTGAAAGTAGTCTCGACTGCCTAAGTCATGACGAGCTCTCCCATGCTCGAGAGAAAGTTGAGTGTGAGCTGAACATATTGGCGAGTCAAAGTTTACGCGATGAACAAACTCCTCTTTCTCCCTGAGGCAACCGCATTTATTTTGTTTCTCGGGTCTTTGACCGTATATGAGGGCTCTTGGAATGGTTGTTAGCTGTATTCACGTAACTCCCTTATGAAACCTAACCGCACTGCAGCTCCCAAGTTTTCATGTGTCCTGAACTCGGCAGCCGAAGCGCCTGTAACGGTGGAAGAGCAGCAGCCTTCCACTAGTTGTATCACACCCTTCTGTACTTCAAGGTTCAAAACAACTCCAGATACAAGCACAAACAAGCCCCCTTCGCCGAATGTACAAACACTGTAGACGTTTTGGGGGGAATTTAAGTTGCGAACGGCTAGTGTACTAGGGTCCGGTCGGGGTGTATGTGCGCACTTCGGGCAGGCTTGCCAGAATCGCACATACCTTGCTACTGTAATGTTGCTCGGGTCGTTCCAGCCTGCGGATCTGCAACTGAAATGCAGCCATGCCTGCATGCCATATCCATTTCAACATCTGGACCGCATTCGAGCCAAAGGTCAAGGGTACTGAAGGAATGAGCAGACCCGGTTGTCCTGCTTCCGGCATGTTCCACTAGTTTGGCATCTCGAGACTGCGGCGGTGGCTGCTTAATGGTTTTAATGCGGCCGCTGGCCGCTCCTGGTAAGCAGTGTCTTGAAGGCCCCTATAGGTTGACATCGAAGGGGGCGCTCTCGAGCGGAGTTGGCAATAAACTTCAGAAGGGAACTCCCACTCCAGGCATTTATAGGGCTAATATTTTTGAGATGGCGGGATGAGGTTCGCGAGGATACTCTGGATACAGCGAGTTTAATGTCGGGAGGGTACTCTAGAGATAGCTAGTCCATCGCCCTACAGCTGTGGGCCTGTCTTGCTGGCATTTTGCTGTCATGAGATGTGGCTGCATGACGCGAACACCACCAGGCAGCAAACTCTGTGGTTGCACTCCAGCATTAGCGGTGCATGGATGTGTGCTTTTAGGGGTCTCTGAGCTGGCGGCTTAACCTTGTCCGGGAGACCTGCTGTTGTTCCCCCACCATCTCTTCTCCTATTTTGCCTACAACGAAGTGTATGCCCACAGGGCATACACTTCCTGGCGTCTCCAGGCAGTACTTCTTCAGCACAAAATGCACCGAGACGCGATGTGTTGTAAAACATTCATTGCGGCATCGCCACGGCTTTGAGCAAGTACCGGCTTGCCGTCTAGTATGGCGAAAGCACAGTTTCCACAAGCGAAAAGAGCTGGAGGCTAAAGCCAAGGATTGCAAGCACTTTGGTCCACTGCAGCTTAGCAAAACCATAGCTACGCACGGGTGCGCAGTTGAGAAGCTGTACACTAAACTTCCCGTTCACAGGTGTGTATAGGAAAACGATCGCAATGCAAAAAATTTTGCTCCTACCGATGCAAAGCCACTGTGCCAGAATTTAACGAGTGGCAACGAATCACTTGCATCACTTGCAAGAATGCAATGCCAATGAAACATGCTTTAGGAAGCGGCCTCTTTCGGAGCCTACTTGCATCCCAGCCCCAGGCTGTTTCTGAGTTGTCGAGTAGCCCCTGGCGCACGCTGTCTTGCAACTCACACGTGCAATGCCGCGAACTCCACACCGTCGGTGAACGAAGGCAATGTAGTGTCTTCTGCAGTCGTCCCGTCAGGCACGCAAAAGCCTGCCCTTACCTGGCAGTTCACCAGCTGAAACCACAAAAGCAAGCAAAATATGTGCGCTGTTCAAGTATGCCAAATGGAAGAAATATCATTCTTCAATTTGACCTATTTGAAAGGTGGACCCGGGGAGCGGCACCTATCACACACTCCGTCTGGCTGAAATGAGCTAAACGAGAGGAATACCGGCTGATATATTCTCCAAAAAACACTTACTTTACAGTCTTTCCCGACCTTTGCACCCGGGCATAGTATGACGCGTTGGAGCACTGTTTTTGATCCAACCTCCGTGCCAGCCATCAGGATCGACTGCGTCACTTTACATCCTGATCGCAATACGGCGTTTTTGGCAACAACGCTTCTCTTAAGCACCACATCTGCCTCCACTGTAGCGTTCTCCGCCAGGACGCAATCGCGCATCTGATCAAAATACATGCAAAGGCAAAAATGCAGCATTGTGCGCGTAGCCAAGCGGTAGATGCATTGGCAGGTTAAGGGTTACAACGGAAACCAGCAAAGCTCAACTCACACTGCCGGGCTTTTTGGGATTGTGCTCCGGGAGAGCCCAATCGGGGAGAACTGATTTTAGTTCGTCTAGCCGACCGCAACAAAACTGCAAAACAAACACAGCAAGCAGTTCACCCAAAATACATTCTTGGGAAGCGCATGCAGCATGATAGAACTCCAGAAACGCTCTTGGCCAGCCTCACTCTATTGTTCATTTCGCGATAGTCAGCAAGATTGTTGACACGACAGCAAATCCCTGCTGCTTCTGGGTGTATACAGCAGACGACCCGGTTGCCCTTCGCCTGCAACACCAAATAATGCACTTGAGGGCATCCCAATGCATATTATGATCCAGCTGTTCGCCAGCACCACTTCGGAAGTGCCCTGTAAGGCATATGCAGCAGTAACAACAGTGCAGGGCAAGAACAAGATGTCTTGTGCACGTCGCGTACCGGACGGGGTGGAGGATTTGCTGCGGTGTATAATAGCGGTAAGGAGCTCCCACTGGGCTGTTCCTCTGCTGGTGCTGTAGCAGTCACTGATGTTGATGTCGCTTCATCCTCTCCCTGTTGCTGGATTGCCCACAACTGACGCTCGAAAACGTCGCACTCAAGCCGGCTGCTAGACCAAACTGCGCATGTTGGTGCAACAAAGCAAACAGAATACCGACCTATGTAAGGAGGCGTTTGTTGTAGAGTTCCGGAAGAAGTGATCACACCAAAGGAATGAGGTTTCCGTCGTACCTTGTGCTGCGTCCGTCATTTGCATTGTGGTCATATAGGGCACGAGGTCAAACTGAATACATCCACACACCCATTCTCGCATAACTCGTGAGATCTTTGCCGTTCCTTAAACCCTACGAGAAGCGCCAGAGAACTTCTTGTGAAACGGCACGTTGTCCAGTCCGCTTGAGAACACAGCATGCTGATTGAACTATGTATTTTGCAGCATTTTCGTGTCCTATTTTGTCACACGACAACCAATCGTACCCGAATAGAATACAAACTGTGACGCAACGAGGGCTGGTCGAAAATTTTGAGCGTCGCATGAGCAAAAACATAGACGTGAGGATCGTAGTAATCTGGTAGCAAGTGCTGGGATGGATACAAGAATAGATGCAGTTTCGAAAGCTGTAATGGGCTGCCGTGGCTGATGCCTGAAGATACACAATTACGCACCAACTCAACGCTCCCTCTGGAGTCTGGCAACCGGCACATATGTTGAGCGAGTGCTATTGAAGCACAGAGGGATTATAAGCTGCGGATGTGATCATCTCACTGTGCCTGTCCTGAATTGCCAACAGCTGAATTCCGGAGTCGTCCACGACAACTGTTACTGGGTTTCCTCTGCTGGTGTCGCATTTCTCCTGTTGTGTTTCCTTCATCTTTCTCCCACCTCCCTTCCCCTTGGTTTGTTCTGCTGCAGGCTCAGCAAGAGGGTCGCGAGGCATTAGGTAAACTGTGCAAGCCGCCCCTTCTGCGCGATGCCGATCTGCACAACAAGAACAAGAACACATACACACAAAAACTCACGATTCCAAAGGTACGCTGATTGTGTGTGTGTGTGTGTGATATTTAAATGTGGGTTTATCCCTTCATAAGCTGTACATGTGAAGAGGGCAACGTAAACGAAAATGTTCGCGCGTATCGAAAACGTCATGTGCGAAGGGTGACAGGCGGTAGTCCATATTGGAAATTCGAGATGCCTCACTTGCAAGGGCGAAGAAATCCACGTGACCAATAAGGTCGCAGGATAATACAATGAAATCCGTTGTAATCAGGTGCCGAATTTGCTGTAGTGCCTCTGCTGTGCCGCAGACACGCTGGTCAGTATCGTCGAAAACATCGACTGAACGTCGCCTGTTTCCTCCGGAGGAAACATCCTCTGCATCTTCATCCTCCCCCTGGCGCGTGCATTTGAGCCCAACCACTTCAAGACGCCGGAACGAACTGCCGAAGTCCTGCTGCAAGTAGGCGGATAGCTCCGCCTGTTGTTGTGCCTGGGTTACGACGATTACGTCTGTAAGCAGTCAACACCCACCAGCATGCAGTGGCGAATGAACAGCCAAGATCTTCACTAGAGTTGGTGAATAACTTCACGATTTAATTTGCGAGCTAGCAGCGCATACGCTACGGCATTAAAACCAATAAACAAGACAATTCAGTTGCATGGCTGCACAATAATGCACTTACCACCGAATGTAGCTTCCTGAAGGTTTCTAAGGCAATACCATATCATAGGCCGATTAGCCACGGGAAGCAGAGCCTTGCATGATATAGCTCCAGCTGAGGCGCTGGAATCTAAAAGTGATGAAAGGCGAGAGCCACTGCCGCCAGCCAATACCACAACCTGCAGAATACTCACAACAGAGCAGAGCGGCCACCGAGAAGATCCTAGTCAGTGCCCAGCAGCGAAATTGCACATGGTCTGACCATACGCTATGTAGGCCTAATTTTGTTTAATTCAACCAGCCACCCTACCTGAAACTCTGGAAAAGGATTCTTCCGTTGATTGGCATCCGCTGGAGTTGCCGCACTGGCGGCATCTGTTGCAAGTGGTGGCATGATATTTCCGAGGAAGCCGTACCTGCACGCAGAAGCTGTATCAGCAGCTGACTCATATAACGTTTCACTTGCCTGTTACGTGAACCAAGCCAACCGCCTCGCTAGCAAGCCAGGGAACCAAAACAGATCACCGACAGCCAACATGAGGGCAATTCATCCCAATTCTATGACATACTATATTCTCCAAGTAAGCTGGAAGAGACAATGCAATCGAAAATGCTGTCCCGTCGGCTCAAGTGTTTCCCGCCAGTCAAGAGGCACCTTTTTCCAAATATGGATGCGGGAAACAAATTGTTAGGGGTTTTATGTTTAACAGAGGTGCAAATGGATAGATGCAGAATAAATTGTTATTTATTTCAATTGCATCTTTGAATGGCTTTGCGGTGTGGCTTGGTAGAGGCGGTCCTAGTGGGGCTGGCCCCTGAAACGCCGTCGGGCTTGTGGCGTGCAGAGATTTGAACAGCCTGGAGATATGGTATCAGGGAGCTGCAAGACACCCACCATTATAGATGAAAAGGCATCAGTATCCTTTGTATTGTTTTGGGTTAGTCATATATATTTTGTTCACTCTGCCCTACGCTCAGGCACGTTCGCCAGACAAACCGCAGCGGGTCCGTCGGCCTCAGCCCACGGATTTCCAGGTTCCAAGCATCTTTCTGGAGAGCTGCAGGACGTTGCTATCCCATATCTTCTTCAGAGAACAGCAGTAGTGGTGGCGGTGCTCAACAGTAGCTGGCTAGGGTTTCAGGAGCTCGCTGGAACAACTTGCAGCCAGGTGGGACCTGCCATTGTCCCCTGCCTATCGTGTCAGGCAACCACCTCTTCTCCCGTACAAATTTGTTCGACTGAGAAATGTTTAGTCGTTTGGAGAGGTCTTGATTATTTCGGTGGATTGGAGTACTGGCTCTCCGAGCTGGGCCGGTGGTGCACCATACATACCCCCCGGAAGAATGGAGTTATGTCATAACCTGGGATGAGGATCCGGAAACGAGCAAAGTCAGTTGTTTGTTGGTTCATTCTTAGCTAAACCAGTCTTTACTTCTGGCCTGTGGGCGTTGCTTAGTCCTGTCGGCCCGTTCTCCAATGTTGAGCGATGGACAACGAATCGGCGTGGGGCTTTGTCTCTTGGGACTGAGCCTAGGGTTTGTCGGTCTATTATGCTTTTTAGATCGAGCCCTACTAACTCTTGGAAATTTGGCTTTTATGTCGGGGATAGGCTTGGTGCTTGGCGGCAGAAAAACGCTAAAGTTTTTTGTGCTGAAACCGCAAAAGTGGAAAGCATCGTTGCTTTACATCCTGGGAGTCCTCCTAATTGCATTGGGATACTCCCTGATCGGACTTCCGTTGCAGCTCTATGGCCTTCTACGGCTCTTCGCCTCATTCCTCCCTCAAGTTCTAGGTGCCGTACGCCTTTCCCCTGTTGGATGTTGGATACTGCAACTCCCTGGGTTTAAACAGTGTACAAAGTGGGTGCTTGATGGTGACAAGCAGCTGCCCCTCTAGACAGAATTTTCATTAGAGACGCCTTGATATCTAGTTACCTCCTTCTGTTACCTTGGGGCCACTTCTGCCGCCCAGACTGGAGCGGGTGTCTGCCGAAGTCACGAACTTGTGGAGTGTGTTTTTGCCCCTAACTCACCTAAGGGTGAGACCAGTGAGACCAGTTTTCAAATTATTTCTTTCTGGAGGGCATCCACTTCACGATGCGACTAGGTTGAACTGTTCTACCCGTTGCCATGTGTGGGCGGGAAATAATTCTAAGTCGGCGGTCTCACGACCCTGCGTAATTCCTAGGGTGCTGTGTGACGTGTTTTTGTCAGCTCTTTCCAAGCCCCACTTTGCAAGATTACTCCGAAAGCGCTGGGGAGTGTGCAAGCTGTGTTGTAGACAGCCAGCTTTTCAGGATGCCTAGTAGCTTTAGAGTCTGAACCGCGAGCCAATATATTGCAGTTCACTGTGGAATTGAAGTATTAGCTATGTTGTTTGGATGTCCTGCCCCATTTTACTCAGCAACCTTTTCTGGGTACCTAGTAACTGAACAGTCGGAACAGCAAGTCAGCATATTGCAATTTGGTATGGAACTGATGGAACTGAAGTACCAACAACGTTGCGTGGATATCGTGGCCCAATTTAGTCCTGGGAAGGCCACAATGAGGAAAGGGGACGTGCGTTGAAGGCTGCAGCAGGAGAAAGAGAGCTCCCAGACCCCGAATCTGCCTCTTTGAGACTTCAAAGTGGCTCACTCCAAATTGTGGATTGGCAGGTTTTGCAGGTTAGCACGAGATCCTTTGTGGAACCCAGGAGAGGTCTGCGGCACCGTGACTTCTTCACGGTGTGTGCCTTCTTCACTGTTCTGTGAGGGTTCGTGTTGTATTTATTGTGTACAAGTGTCTTGCAGCGGCCAATGTGAAGTATTGCGGGTGTGAACACTGACCGAAGGGCTATGGACACCGCAAAGAGCAGTAGGCAACGTCGCATAGCCCATGATTGGTCCTGCTTAAATACTCCCGTCATGTGGAGTAGAAGCTTTTCCCCTCTTGAGTTACATAGCATTCTTGAACACTGTTTCACCAGAAAAATTAAATAGGTCTTGCAAGCTTGGTGGTCTGAATGGCCGGCTGTCTCTTGTCCATTGAAGGGACTCTGGGACGCTCACCAGTAACAGGTGTGACATCCTCCAAGTTGGACTTTAGAAAAAGAAGCATCAATAAAAAGCCTTTGGTGAATGGGATGTATATTTGTACTAGAGGCCAGACGAAACACTGAAAAGGTGCCATGCGGATTTGCTTGTCGTCTGTGAAGGAGGTCGTCCGGTGACACACAGGGAAATGTGGTGTGGTGCCGGCACTGTTCTCGGAAATCTTTCCTCCACTGCCACAAAATTAGCTCGGCCACAAAGGGTTTTACTTTCAACGGACATTCCGTAGCGGTCGTATTCGAAGTCATCAATACCTCCTGCCGGTTTTCCGCCCTTCCGGGCTTGTCTCTGGTCTGCTGTCATCTTCACACTGCAATCCTCGCATACGGCGAACAGCTTAAGTAGAAATAGGGAGACTTTGCATTTCTCCAGTCTTTAAATTTACAGAAATCATTTGTCTACGCCCTTATGAGTTGTGGTTTGGGGATGTGCTTCATGCCGACCCCTCCATCGCATGTCCGAACCGTCAACGAAGAGCCAACCAGAGCACAGGTTGAAAGGGTGCAAACGAATTCGGCTTCAATTACCAGCTGGCTGTCTTTTTGGTATTTTCACTGTCTACGTAGGGCGCATGCTGTTGGCGTCTGCCTTTGCATCTGTTCTCTCCGGCATCAGTGGTCCGCCTTCATCCGCAGTCCGCTCGTAGCAAAAATAACAGCTCTAGGCTTCTAAGAAGGGAGCTGCTGTAAATTCCTAACTGGCTGGCGTTCCTCGCTGTAGCATTCAACAACGAAGTATTCAGGGCCGTTTGGCAACTCTCTGGATAATAATCTGGGACTTCAAAGCCTCCACAAACATTAGAAAATGGAACACGGTTTGTGTGTTGACGACAAGGGGTGGAGAGCAATTCACGGGAAAAGGACAGAAGAGCTCCTTAGGTGAGGCCTGGTAACTGTTCCGTATCATGGCCTTTGCAAATCCCAATGATAATAGAATATTTGCATTGGCTGGCACGCTAAAGAGGGTGTGTGCTGTTCAGGCAACCACAGGCAGCATGTTTTGGTACTCCACAGCCTCGTGAGGTGGAAGGAAACGGCACACGGTAAGCTGAGCAAGGCACTTCTGATTTCGTTTGCTCGTTTCGCCCTCTCCTAGCTCGCAAGCTTGGTCGCCGGGCTGCTTCTGTGACCTTTTCTGCAGGGCTTCTGCTGCCGGCCTGCAAACAACGTGGGAAGAGGACGGAGGCAAAGGTTGGCATCGACTTCGTCGCCACAGTGCAGCATCCCAGGTATGGCCTCAATGAATATAGCAGCCTAGGATAGTCTAACTTGGGCCAGATTCCACGAACGCCGCATGCAAACTTTTACAGTAAACTCAGTGTTTTATTGTGTGCTGCATAAAGGTTGCCGCAAGCCTTGGCGGCCGACTTGAGGAACCCTGCAAGCCCCCCAACGCTCGAAAGCTCGAGCTTTTCCAACGAAGAAACTGCAGCACCAAACTTCAGGATCTCATTAAGTGGACCTCAAGTGGTGAGCTGTACAGCAATTCCGTAGTGTCCACAGAAGATCATTTTTAAAACAGTAGAGATGATGGCGGTACACTCAAACGCTTCATATGTACCATTCAGGCCCTGAAGAATCTGAAAGTCTAAATATCCACGGGCTACACGGCTCATCAGCTGGAGTGGGTGAATTTCGGCGCTCCCAGAGTCTGAAAAGGCAAATTGCACCTCCTGGCAAGCAGGACTTTGGGGAAGTTTTGCAGCACCGCTTTGCCACTGCAGATGCGTGCAGCCCAGAAAGATGCAAACACCATACTGGTGTGAGGGCGCCATCTTGTCTTCATCGTGATCAGCATGACATGCGAGGTATTATCAGCCATTCTTACGTGTACGTAACGTTCTACCATCACCTTCCCTGGTACTATACTGCATTGGCCCTGTCAAGGCGGAATTTTCATCTCTCAATCGTTGAAATAGAGGGTTATTGTTCTGTTTCCAGGATTGGTGATGCGGCAGTACATTCACACCGCCGAACATCTCACGTCCACGCCGCAGAGAATCCATGTCGCTGGGGTGTTGATGTCCTCAACTACCAGCTCCCGGAACCGCGGAAGCTAAGGGGAACTGGAACAGAAGAAAACTTGGGGGTGCATCCCAAATTAAGATATATTGGCTTCGATGTTTGCACTTTAATAGTTTACAGTTCTGCGAGGCCCGGTTTAAGCAACTTTCATCCACTCAACTATGTTTTTCTGTGTATTTAGGCTGGGTTGATCCCTAGGCAAAGCTTTGATGAATTTTCAAGCGCTCAGAGAAGAATGAAGAGTCTGACACACCAAAATTACAGCCGAGGGCATCTCGAGCCGGTGCGTTGAATTCGGCTACCATTGGGATAAGAATCGCCATTTCTCAGCCTCATTGGCATTGTTCGCTGACACGTATTTATAATCAGTGTGCATTCTACAGATCGTGCACTACCACCCGTTTCCTTCTCTGTATGGTTGCGTACAGTCTACTTTGTACCCAGCTGAACCTAGCTCCTTCAAGTTTGCTCAGGGCAAAAGGAGAAGCAAAGTGGAATGCGATAATCTTGACGTAAGGCTCTTAATTGCAGCTGGAATGCCCCTTTGTTCAAGACATGCAAAGATATTGCTCCGCAATCTAGCGATTGGCGAACTTATGAGACTACGCTGTGTCTGAGCTCAGGGAACGTGCACACCGTTGAGAGAGGAAACTTTTCGAGCTGCTCGGAGAAGCACTGCCACACGGTTGCAGAGCCACTTGCGCGTAAGGATAATAGACTACTGTGTCTAAGTGCTGCCAGTGCAGGTAGCGGCTACAGGTTAGCCTTCGCCGTTGCGTGTACGGAAATCAGCAGCACTTGTATGGCGCTGGAGTCGGACTTGCATTTTCTCCTTTTCGCAGGATGGTTTGATCCCCTCTGTTGGGCCGGATATTTGCAGAAAACGATGCAGCGACCAGTGGCATATGCACAGTCTTCATGTACGGGGTCATTAGTGCAAAAAGCCGCATATCATGCAGTAGTGGAGAATTTGTAGCAAGGCCCCTTAGGCTTGTCACTTACAAGCAATGCTGCTTCTTCCATTGATTTTGCTTGTTCTGCAGATAGACCTAACACCACAGACTACCCCGACGGAGAAGACGGGACGGCGTCCGCATCCGGGATGGCAGCGAGATTCGCTACAAAGAGGTTCACTAATGCCTCTGTAGGCACAACAAGAAGCACCAAAAGTTATCGGTGGACATCCTCCATGGAGGGTTCCACAGAAACCCAAATATTCAGACGAAACTCGCATTCCATCACATCTCAGCAGCATGGAATGGGAGTGTCTGGTTTCATTGCTTTTGCATCCCAAGCCCTTTCGTGAACCCAGTTCCTTGCCACTTAGCCGTAGGCTTTCTTAGATTTCTTGCAGCGCATTAGCGAGTGCTTGTCACCTGTTTGATGCACCATGTATGTGTGTGGAAGCTTTGAGGAAATATAATCGAAGACAGCTTGTGGGAGTGTCCCAAAACTAAGTACTATTAACATCCATGCTTATAGTGATCGTTGGAATCTGAGTAATTGTACTCCATCGTTGGTGGAAACAGGTGGAATTCGTAAGATGGCGAATGTATTTTAATTGGTTGTGTAGCCAGATGGAATAGTAGTCAAACTTTGTTCTTCAGTACCACTGCATATGTTATATAGCTGGAATATCTCTGATGCAGCCGGTTCAAGTCACCAACACGGAGGGTTCCCCGGAGGTGTGGGAACTCAATATGGCTATGCAAGTCTCTAGCCTCCACCTCAGGTGGACAAGCTTTTCCAGTTGACACTTAACTACCAAACAATTGAGGAGTTATTCACCTCCTCCATGATGCAACACACGAATCAGTAATCTCTGCACAGTATCATATATAGTGAGGGGCCGGCCAACTGTCCCTATCTACTTGAATTTGCCATTCCTTAAGGCTCACACTTAAGTACACTCAAAAGTGCTGCAGAAAATGGTGTCAACGGCAAACTGGGCACCGAAGGGCGAGCTCTGCGTGAACACTAAAATGGAAGTGCGAGCAAGGAGGATCTACCTTAAGCAAACAGCATATTTTCCACCCATCCTTCCGAAAGGGTTAACATTCCACCCTTTGGTCCTCAACTCCCCTATCATCAGGATTGCAACGTTTTGTAGGCAGTGCGCACAACATGATGGTAAAGTATCTCCTACGGATTCATTCCACTGCAATCCTGGACTTGCATTTGCCTATCAGTGCGATTCTCCTGGAACTGTCTGCTGCATTCACGCCAGAGGTGGGTGGCCTTCCGAGGAATGTACTGGACAAGCCAGTGGCGGGGGGGCATCG